TATAAAAGTATTCTATTAATATAGTAACATCTTACTATAATATATTGTACGTCAGTTTTGTTGATATTCTTATGTTTCTTGTAGAGAAATTGTTGTATCACTACTTTTAAAATGTATATATATATATATACTACCTTAATTTAATATGCATATACTATACTGCCGGCTGTCACCGTGAAAAATGTAAAGAGAAAATTTATATTCTGCATAAAAGATATTTTCGGCCACGTAAGAGATACTTCTATCACCTTCCATTGTGATAAAAACTCAAGTGTAATTAATTTACAAGTTATATCTCTGCTTTATGCCAATCATTTCTAGACGATTGTTTATAGTTATATATAAAATTCCTACGTATAAACTAGAATAGAGAGATTTTTCAATGTTTCTTGTACATAATTATAAAAAATACTTGCAATAACTTGCACTTCTTTGTCTCATAATTAAAGTAAATTAAATTACTTTTTCTACAGTTAAGATAATATTAATTTTATTTCAATCTAATTGTTATGAAATTGCATTAAATATGAAAAATAAAACATTGTCAAAAGTTATATTGTCATGCGAATAGCTTCTTTGGAATGTCAAACGTGGAGTATAGACAATACTTTGTCAATATAGTAACAAAGAAAGCAGTAATGAAAATGAATAAAAAGGATAAATTTGACCAATCCAAAGCCTCTTTGTTTACAAACACATCGAAACGAAAAATTCGTACTTATATGACCAAAAATTATTAGAATCTTATTAACACATTCGCTGCGTTATGAGAATGCCGCTATGCACGAAGGTCACGAATAACGCGGATCCGTGTCAACCACAGCAAAGGTGTTAACAAATTAAAATGAGCGACTCTGTCTAATGATAAATTATTTTACATGTTAAATATTTCGCATCTAATGAAACTTTGTCATCAACTGCTACCTTTACTCCACGGTTGCTCTGTAGCAGATGCAAAGATTAAGTAAAAGCAGTTGGTTGCCATATTTATTCCTGCTGCCAACCAGAATACAGTATGCCAACGCGCTAGCGTTTCCTATAAAAATTCAGGTAAATTATAATTACGTTTAGCATTAAATATAAAAACATACAATTAATTATTTTACTATACTAACATGTCCTTGAACTAATCTTCCAATAACATATGGTGCTAAGAAACCACAAGCATTTGATGCAGCATTTGTGAGTCCGTAAAGGGTCCCGGCATATCGTGGTGCTAATGCAATGTGATTCATTTGATTTCCAGCATAAATTGCACCCTGCAAAGAGCCCAAGCCAGCGATCATCATCATTACAGTCATACGATCGCATCCAGCCCAGATAGCACCGATAAAGCTGAGGCTGGGTCCTAATGAAGCCACTGTATTCCACAATTTAAATGATGCTAAAGGGGATAAAAGTTCACGGGCAAGAAGGGCATCTGCAAAACTTGATATACCAAGTCCGACCAACCAAGAGGTTAAATAAGGCAGTGCCGATAGAAATGCGTCCTGCTGAACATCAAAATGTAAAATTTTATCCATATATGTTGGTAACTCGGTTAAAAGAGTATAAAATGCCCATGACTGTCCGCATTGTGTTATCGTTATAGCCCACATTGGCAACGATGTGAATACCGATAACCAAGGTACTCCAACATCGTTTTCCTGTTTTTATGCAAATTGGATTAGACCATATTCAATAGGAAAATCAATGTACGATTTCAGTGAGTAAAGTAAAAAATTAACCTCATTCGCCTTTTCCACGCTAGCTTCGATATATGCTCTTTCCAGGGGATCAATTCTCGTATGCAATGCTGGTGTATCGAACACAAAAATTAGCCAAAATGCATACCATACAATTCCAAGCCCTCCAAACAAATAAAATGCAAGTGGCCATCCATCCGAAAGTTCTAATGAACACAACCATCCACTCATTGGTAATGATATAACAGTTCCAAAATTTGCTCCTATATTAAACCGATTGTATTAATATTGTAAAGCCATAATGGAAATTCGATATATACATTATTTATCAATATTGAATATTTAATTTACTGATATCAAATATTTGAAATGGGAAAGTACCTGCATATACTACAGCAGCAAATTTACTTCTTTCTAAAGGAGGTACCCAGCGTGCTAACATACTATGCATTGCAGGATATGTAACACCCTGTAAAAAAAATGTCAGACTATTAAATAATTTGATTTCAAGATTAAATATTTCTTGTCTTCGAAGAAAGGTTAAATACCTCTGTAAACCCTTCCGCTGCTCGTACAGCTAAAAATGGGACTAATCCTGCATATGCTGCAAAAGGGCTAACTACAGTCAATACTGCGGTCAGAAATACACCTAATCCATAAATTAGTTTTCCCCCATATATCTCAGCCATTCTGCCACCTGGTACATTTGTAATTACATAGCCAAGAAAAAAAGCACCCAATATAATACCTTGGGTTTTTTCATCCCAGGCAAACTTTCCTGCACTCTGTTATTATATACAAAATTTTAAAAAACACATATTAATTTAAAATAAAATTGAAAGATTTCAGAAACTCAAACAAAATCAAAAGTTTATAGAATATCGAAAGCATAATGGATATAAAGGAACTGTACAAGATAATAAGACTATAATAAGATAATGGTAATAAATGCGTGGTTGCAATGTGCGTTACATCATAGTGCTGAGGTCATATCAATAGTGATAAAACTGTATGAGTAATAATATGCATGATAGAGAAGTGACAATTAATGTTGGTATTTGATCTGTATCAACAGCGTACAGATAGAATATACGACATTATAGAGTCAAAGTATAAATGAATAAAAAATTTTAAAAACAAAATGTAACAAGTACACTTAACATTAAAATCGGCCATTAAATATAAGAAATATTTGATAAAACTCACTGGAATAAATGTTCCATTAATTGGTTTGTAATTATGGCAAACATCGGTAGTACCATTATCATCGGTATGCGGTATAGCTGTCTGATTAACCATTGCGACAATGGCAACAGATAAGTTTACTCTCATGGCATATACTAAAGCAAACCCTAGGAATCCTAAAAAACCAAATGTATACCGTGCTTTCATACATGATTTTGTATCTGATAATACTTCCGGTAGAGTAACTGAAAAAAAAGAATTATTTTATATTGAATATGGATAGTTCTTTATATAATTCACAATAATTTAATAATTATAATTATTAGTGTCACATATTGACACATCCATTTTATGACTACTGGATGGAGAACATTTTAAATACAAACTACAATTTAAAAATTATGATAAATAAAAAATAAAATAGCAGTTTTAAAACGATTATGTAGTAAAATAAACAAATCGAAAGTTACAACACATTCTTCATGTGTTTGACGTCATGGTTTTTATCTGTAAATATTAATGTTTTTCTGCTTCATAAAATTTAAACAATCAAGCTGTTAAGAATATTAATTATTTTTATTAACCTAACGCATCTTCCGACAATATATTATACGATTTCTTTTTTTTCATGTTCAATGACTAATGTCACAAATTTTTAATAACACTGTCTGTTATGGAACTTGCTACTCGCATATTGCAATATAAGAATAATTAAAAGGTTGAAATATAATCATAATGTACGTTGTTGAAAACCAAACATGCAACCATAAAAAAATCAAGTACATACATTCAACACACAGGCTCGGAAGAAAAAACGCGTATGAAAATTCTAACAAATGACGATATCATTGATTACTCATGCAGCTGTTCTGCCAGGCTTTTGTATCCAAACAATGTCTACCAATGTCTATTCACGATTCACAAGTAATGCAATTCAAATGATAAAGACATAAGAAATAATTGTTTACAGAAGAAGCGCATACAGAGATAATGAATGAATGAAAAGAAAGTAAAAAACAAACCTTTTTCTAAAGAATCATTAATGCATAAAGGCTGGTCATCTCGCGAGACACTAGGATCCAGCACTTCCATGTTGCTTGTGCACTACTTTACAGATGTTCAACCACTTTAACAATATTTCAATCGTGGTCCAAGCATCGACGTTATAATTTCGTTTTGCACGACTGTAGTTTGTTATCTCGGGACATCGATGCAATTATACACGCATCTGATATTTTAGACAGAAATTTAATTTGAATTCAAACGAAGATCTGCAGACTTCACCATCGTCTGCTGTCAGATCATGACAGACATCAAACTGGCGCGAATTACTACGCACCGCGTCATTCGAAACTAACACTAACTGAATTGAGATTTCCTATCTGATACATTCCACACAAATTAAACTGAAAATTGCTGCTGTCTCACACATACATAGTGTATTCGTATACAAACGCGCAGGCGCGTTACCTTTCTTTAACTTTCTACAATTGCAGAATAACGCAATAATTAACAATTATAATGCTAGGAAGCATCAACATTTAACATTTCGCTTATAACACAGATTATTATAAAATATTTATTATTATGTAATTTTTAGGGTTTGAGAGATCACGCTACTCTAAAATTTTAGCCTATGAGAATATAAAAAAAATGTAAATATTCTTTAGCATTAAAGGACATTTATTTTAACATATATATTAATAATTTAATAACAATGCAAATATATTTATTTTATTGCCTACTTTTAAGACTTTATTTTTGCTACACACACAAACATCTTCTTAATTAAATTATTATACTGCATTACTTATTAA